CAGTGCGTACGAATTTTTTTCTGGAGGACTCCTGCGAAGGTTTGAAGTAACCTTAATTCTTAGACAAGTGCTTATGACTTTACTGTGCAGCAGCCGCCGCCAGTTCAGCTTACAATCCTGACCAGCCATACTGAATCTAACAGACTTACATGTAACAACAGGATGGAGCAGGCAGACTCCGAATGCAAACAAGAAAATCACGCAGACATTCATCCTTTAACAGGTGTGATTTCCAACTAAACTGTTAAAACAATAACAACAATAGAAACACGCATTTATAGCTAACTATATAATACATTGAGAGTGAACTTTAGACAAAATGCAAAACGATATTGGAGGCAGAATATCAGTGATTATATATTACTGTTCTGCCGTGATTAGGTGTAGCCCCGTTTTAGTTCCTTTTTAAACAATCACTGGCTTAAAATTATTTTCAAAATGAGTCTCCAAGTTGAAATGAGACATGTATACTGACATATCAGTTTCTCTGTGCTAGTTTGGAAGTAATTGTTTCAAACGCGAACTGGTTTCTAAAAGATTTAACTATCCAGAACTTAGCTAGACAAAGTTATTTATTAGATACGTTTTGTCCTGTGTCGGGTATTTATCCAAATTTTCTCCGTGATCATCGCCTTCAAGAAGTTAACTAGCGAGTCTAATCAGGTCAAGATAAAGAAACTGATTTTCAAGTGTAGGCTTTGCAGTGATACTAAACTCAGTCAAGAACCACTGTCGTTTGGTGAGATAGAGAACATTGTACCTTATTTCTACGAGGACATAAATTGTACTTTCTGGAGAATCTCTGCTGTCTCCCGTAAAATACTGCAAAATCAGTGGGCCTTTGGCGGAGCGGTCACCGTCTCCTTGCCACATACGCAGTTGCGAAGTTATAAACATTTTCCCAAAAAGTGAGAAATCTGACACCTTTAGTAAGAACTGTACACAATCGTGTGATCACTTAATTAATTTCAGCTTAAATCCAAAGAAAAGAAGTCAATAGTTTCATTTGTGTGTCAAACCATTTTGATGAAATGTCCTGTTTTGTGCGACTAGAAATTTGTTTTGTATTGCCAAGAAATTCCTTATTCTTTATTTCAATCTTTGTATACTTTATTTCAAATGTTCCGTTTCATATCATCGGCAAAGCGTTTATTCAACCAATAACTTGTTTCCCGAAAGTTTTCAAAAGCTAAATTCATTTGCAAGCGTCTCGAATTGTTTGCAATTAAATATTGTCGTTATTACCATAATCAAATAGTACCTATAATTGCAGCGGGTGAAAAAATAACGTTAGTCACCGAGTATAGTACATCTTGGATCTTTCTCTCTTATAAGATGTCACAACTAAGTATGAGTTTTTCTTTTTTTTGAACAAAGGCAAAAAGAGAATATCAGGAGGCCATAAAATAACAACTTCGAAAAAAAAAATTATCAGCACAAATACAGTACAGCCTTGTTGCTTAGTAACAGATTTTATCCCTGAAAATATTTCAAGAGAGGGGAGGGGAGGGGCAAGTAATTCTTTCTTTGGTAGTCACATGACATGATCGCGTTGCTGCGTTTACCATCCCTCAATTTGCCGAGGAGGCGGGAGAGAGAGAGAGTGGTGCAAGACTCACAAAAAGGCATCAAAATTGCGGTTTTTGCCACCAGATTTCTTCAGGAGTAATTAAAGGAACATGTTTTCCTTTCTTGCAGTTATTTATCATGAAATCTTTTATATCTAACCACCATAGCTATACCTTACTTATTTACATATAACATTTTTCTATTGGCCAATTTTAATTAGCCAGTAGAATACTCTCAAAAGAATAAATTATTATCAGATGTGATGCTTATAACTTGCTAAGAAAATTGAGCAAGTTCTCGTGAAATTCTTTGGGATTCGTCATATAACAAGCATGTCCAGCACCTTTCATCACATGAATGACACTTTCAGGGATATTTCTGAGCCTTCGCAAAGAGGAAACTCCAAGAGTTGAGTCGTTTTCACCATACACAATAAGAGTTGGTAGTTTAAGGCTTTTATAGTCATCTTCATTGTATTTGTCGGTCCCAACTGGAGCCACAGGGACATATCCCCTCAGATTTCGCCCTTGGTCACCTTGAAAAATAAACGGTAATGCATATGAACCGCTCATAGAAGGTGATATGAGAACTGGCCGCTCAATTTTCAGTTTCTCCATGAACTTGTTTAGAAATTCAGCGCGTTCATCTGAAGTCCTTGGGACTTCAGCGTCCTTGGATTTCACATAACCAGGCAAATCTAGAGCCACTACTCTGTAATCCTGTGAGCGCAGAAACTTCAGAGTATCGAGATCGTCCCAGGTTTGCGAAGAAAACGCTTGACCATGGAGAAACAACACGGTGAAACGTCCACCACTGGGGGGACTTTCCTCCCGATAGAATATTCCTCCTGTCTTTCCTTCCCATTCCAGGTAGCCACGAAACTCCATTCCACTCGGCGTCAACAAATAGTACACTAAAACTATAGTGAAGGCCAGACAAACACCAATAATCACTCTCCAATTGATCTTGAAGGGTGAAACCCGTCCGAAACTCATGTAGTCTGCAGATTTTGCAGCTACCGGAGCAAGGAGGACACTCGACATTACCGTACTCATTCGAGCGTGATAATGTGCATTCCCAGCTAGCCTTGCGAGTATCCTTCAACAATATTTTGGGTGACCCCTGGGGCTTTATGTATATGGAGGCATACTGAGAGGATGCTTGTATATTTTATCCAGGGTTTTGGCACCATTATATAGGTTGCTCAATGTAAAACCTGGTGCAGTACCCAGACCCAAGGAGTGGGGCTACTCCCACATCTGGCTTAGGGGTGTTTTGGAATTGGCCTCCCTTGGGGTGTTCGGAATGAAAACCTCACTATTTTTAGCCATCAAGGAATCAGTTAGGGTTACGCTAAAAAAAAAAAACACCATCATGTCTGTTTTTAACTAGTATCTTAAAGGGATCAAATAAAGTTTGAATCACACCCAGATTAGTCTCCTTTAGAGGTTAAATTCAAATTTTCTGATGAGTATGTCAGATCTTTTCCCATGGCAGTTCCCCCTCATGGGTAACGTCAAAGACATTTAATGTACATGCCGCTATAGTCTAAATTGTTATACCAACCAAAATTGAGCCAGTGATGGAAATGTAACCTCTTTCTTCTTCCACATGCTGTTTGTTTGTGTCATGCCACTATTATTTTACTTTCCATATATGCAACTATAACTATTAGGTACAGAGAGAAACATTTGAATACAAGATAATCATAGACCAGCCATTTCCTTGGCCTCAGTTAGTGACCAGGTCATGAAAATGTTTCGACGATGATGTTGCTCTCACTTGGAGGAAAGAAGTCGACTGCTTGCAGTCTAAACAGGCCCATCCATGTACTGCACAAGTAGATATGCCCAAACATTCAAGTTATTGCAATGGTAGTAGTTGGCTGTGTAAGTAGGGTAGGTTCATAATAGAGATTTGACCTGCTACTGTACATGTTCCTGCAGTGAGGTGTGGATTAATCACACTTGCCGTTTTGCATGTCAAGTCTAGGTATAATAGTTAATAATAAGTAGTAACAGCCTGTGATAATCACGAGGTCAACTGATATTATCTACATGTTGTGCCCTGCAAAGCACTTAGAAGTCATGAGTAACTA